CTCCGTGTGCTGTAGAGGTATACAAAACAGTACCCCAAGCTCTGAGGGGAATGATCACCACTGATGGGGATGATAAGTGAATACTTTGGGGCATATCAACTCAAAAGAACACTGGGTTTGGAGCAGGAAGACCCGAGTTCATTGTTCAGTTCAGACATTTTCAACTTATGTGAACATAAGCAAATCACGGATGGATCTCAGTGCTTAGTTTCCTCATCGACAAAAGCAGGGAGCAGGACTAGATGATGGCTCAGTGGTCATCTCTTTGGAGAAGAGCATTGTTAAAGGAAATACCTCCCTTGGGGCAGTCAGCTTTTCAATTAGGTACTTAGGTATTTTCAACCTCAGAAAGTAGCTGCTGAGGCCGGGGATGTTCATCTTTGGACTCAGAAAGAAATACAAAGCAGAAGTAATAGTCAGTGATTTCAGGTCCCATCTTGGGCTTGCCTAGGCTGGTCCCTGTAGACTGCCATTGCCATGTATTTGTTGTGGGCCCATGGCCTCTGTGGGAGGGGGGAAGGGAAAGGAGAGAAATCTCTTCCTTTGCTGAAAGTGCAGGGAAAGGCCTGCTTGGATGTATCCCCAAAAGAGTTTCCTCTAGTGCAAAATGAATAAATTGGACAAGATAATCTCTAACCTCTCTCCCTTATGAGATTTCAGGAAATGGCCCCACTTTCAGAACCTCAAGTCTAAAAATGACAATGGAAAGGGGAAATTGGAAACCAGTTGAGTGGGAGAAATTTCAGGAGAACCCCAAACCACTGTAAGGTTTCAGGGCTAGATCCTTATTTCTCTTAGCTCGGTAAGAACATCTCTATCACTTGCTCACTAGGGAAAGGAATAATTTATGCTACATGTGTTTGATTCACATCTGTATTTCACAGATATCTGTCTCCTTCTGGTTATATGATCTGATTGCTCTACTTACCTTTAGTGTCAGATAATTGCTTTTACTGATTGTTCTCTGTCCTTTTCTTAGAATCCAGGAATCCATCAGTTCTTGGTCAGTTTCCCCAGAGTCCCTTCTTCTCCCTTTAAATCCTTAACAACTCATTATTTGCAGGATTGGAATCCAGAAGGGTCCTGGTGGAACTCAGTTCCTCCATTTTTTGAACCTGCAAAACGTTTCTGGTTTATCCATAGTAATTCTAACTCTTGAATTCACCTTGACATTTCCCTTTTGATGAATACCTTGATTTGGCTGGAACATTTTGCTCTTGGCTGCAGATGGTGACACAGTTAAAATGAATTGCATTGTCATTCTCAGAAATTATTAATGCAGGCAAGAAGACCTCGTTTCTTGGGCCCATTTTTAGTGCAAGGAAGAGGAAAAGTTGAGAAAGTACTATGTATGTCTCACCAGCGATCTCAAAGCAAACAGAAAGATTATGGCCACAGAGGCTAACCAGGGAAGCTCTTGACAGGCTTGGGAATGGATGACAGACAGTGAGATAGGAAAAAAAATGGGCTTTGACTTTAGACATTGCTTTAATCCCTTCAGTAATTTCACATTGAAAAAAGCACAGCTCCTATGAACAATTTTTTCTTGAGTATGGTCTTTCAGATCCCTTGGTGTTGTGGGGTTGGTATTTAAAATATGTCCATCTGCATTTAAACGAATTGCTCCAAGACAATCAGATTATGCAGTAGTTACTTTGGTGAGAATAGCACCTCAGAGGAATGGAAACTTCATTTTGAGTCTAATATTAGACCTTGCTTTGGAAAATTCCTTTTAAATGATCACAAGCTGGGAATAGCAAAAGAATGTAACTTTCGACAGACAGCATTCACCAAGAATTTTTAACTGCTTATGGTGGGTCCCTGGGAAAGCAGATGTGAAAAACTTTACCGGACTGAATAGGCTTGACCTGATGTAGTGTTTATATTGGTCCTTGATAAGTTTCCTCCCTAGTCTAATTTGCTCAAAATATTTTCATTCTTTGAACATGAGTGGGTCTGAAATGGAAATTATTAGGATGCCTGTTTGTCTAACAATTTGAACTTCTGTGCTTGTAGACATGATTGCCTAGAAAGGGGTTGAAGTCAAAGAAACTGAGCTCTTGGAGTAATCTTCTCAGGCCCCTTTAGAAGCTACTCTGAGGTCATAGGGTTAAGAGTAGTGCTGGGAGAATAGAAAATACTGCCTCCAGACCCAAAGCCAATTTTGAGGGGATAGTTGGTGCTGGGAGCCTGAGCAGACCTGGCCTTGTAGTCTGAGCTCAACTGGAGGTTACAGGATGAACTCACTGCATCTGTAGTTTTTTTTGTTTGTTTGTTTTGTTTTGTTTTTTTGGTTAGGCAGTGGAGTTAAATGACTTGCCCAAGGTCACACAGCTACTAAGTGTTATGTGTCTGAGGCTGGATTTGAACTCGGATCCTCCTGAATCCAGGGCTGGTGCTCTATCCACTGTGCCACCTAGCTGCCCCGTACATCTGTAGTTTTAATGAACTTTTGTTACCCATGGCTCATCGGGCTTCCTTGAAAGGACTCCTGGTCTGGACTGCCACAGACCTGGATTCATCCTAGAGAGATCCTAATTGCAAAAGATTCCTTTTCTTGTTTCTCTCTGGCTCATTATGCTACCACCTCAGATAAGGTCTTGGATGAGGAGAGGGGAAGTCTCTAAAACAGAACTTAACTATGGCTCATGCCTACGGTCTCCCCCAAAGGGAAGAATTTGTTATGCTGTCAGATATCAGCCCTGAGTCTGCTATTTACCACTTTGTAATCTCCTTAATTGTTCAAAGTGGTAGATGTCAGGCATGGGGCATCTATTTATTTCCTTTACCATAGAAGAAATGCTTAAAACACAGAAGACTCAGAAATGTGCATTAATAAATACTTCCAACATGAAACAATAACCTATCGCCTTTATTGTACTCTGCTGAGAGGTAAAGTCTTCTGCAAAGCTTGTGGTATTGCTGAAAAGATATTTTGTATTCGCCCCAAAAATGTACTAGACGATACAACTCACAAAATTGTGATTTTCAGGTCAGGCAACATTAGCTTGGATTTTCTTAGACCTTTCGGTCTTTGCGTGCTCCTGGCAGTGGTCATTTTCTTTGAGAAGGGTATAATTGCAGAAGCCATCTCCTGCTGGGCAGCCAGCTCTGACTTAGGAACTCTGGATCTCTCAGATTCACAAAGTAGCTGCTGAGGCTGGAAATGCCCATCCTATGGGATAACTGTTTGGTGAGCTGTGCTCAAAGAAAGAAATACAAAACAGAAGACAGGCAGAGAATTGAGGTCCTATTTCAAGTTTTCCTCGGCAAACCCTTGTTCATCACCATTGCTATGTGTTCGCTGAGGACCACCATGGCCTTTGTGTAGGGAGGAAGAGAAAAGAAAGAAACTCTCTCAGTCCTTTTCTAGAAATGCAAAGGATAGATGGCCTGGATGTGCAAAGAGCTTTTTCACAGTTATTATATCCTGCTGATGGAGTAACTTCTCTTGGTTGAGTCTCAATCTTCTTTGATGACCCTGCCACCCCCACTGCCAGTCAAGGGGACATTGGAGGGCCAATCAGGAATTGATGGGTTTCACTTGTCCTTTAGCAAGGGACAGAGCATAGGACTATCTATACATATGTTCTATGGAATGGCCCCTGCCACACTTTCTTTAAAGAAGAAAATTGAGCAAGTTTTCTTGGATAGAGATAGAAATGGCCAGCATGAGTTTTTGATCTGTGCTCTAATCATGATTGAACACTGACAGATCTAAATGTAAATGTAAAGGACAAATGACCTTCCATTTAGAACTTAAAATCTAACAGTTTAACTTATCTTATACATAAAGTTCTGTTCATTTCATGGCTATATGCCACCTTCATATACTGAGTTTCCACAAGAAGTGATAGCATGTTTGTTTTAGATGCTCCAATCTGTGATGGAACCCTAGAGAATTTCTGTTTGTTATAGGTTCAGAGACATGTAGGAATAGATTTCAAACTGAGAGGGACCATTGAGACTATCAGTGCCAACTCTCCTCATTTTACAGATGAGCACCTGAGGATGAAAGAGGTCAACTTGTCTAGGATCACATAGCTAGTAAGCATCTGAGATAGGACATGAACCGAGGTCTTCCCAATACCAAATCCAGCCCTCTGACCATTATGCTATACTTGAAAGTACTTATTGAGTAATTTAAGTCCTTTGCCAGATATTGGGGGTGGTGGTGGTGATGGAGAAGGGCATAGGGATGAGTAAGTGACTTTCCTTTAGAGAGTTTACATTTAAGGGGATCAAATAAGATATAGATACATAAATCTAGGATACAAGCTATGATATGTTCAATTTATATACCTCCAGCTGAAGAGTATAGACAATAAATGCTATAGAGGCTCAATGGAGAATGAGAGCACTTCTGGCTGGAATAACACATAAGGCTTCCTGGAGGAGGCATAACTTGACCTTAAAGGTGAAGGGTGGGTAGAATTCAGATAGGAAGGGGAAGAGCAGTCTATGTGAGGGAAGTAACATGGACAGAGGTATCAAAGTAGGCATAAGCAAGGGAGAGTAACATGATGGCAGAAGGAAGATGAGTCTAGCAGCCTCTGTGGAGCAGGTTGGAGGAAGTGAGACTGGGGCCAGAGAGATTCATTAAGAAAGTATTAGAGTAGTCCAAGGGTGAGGTAGTGAGAATCTAAGCAAAGGCCATGATAGTGGGAATGAAAAGGAGGGGACGGATGTTAGAGATCTTCCTACAGAAGGAACAGTTAACTGCTGAAGACCAGCTCCATTAAAAAGGAGAGAACTATGAAGCACCAATTGAATTGATGAAGAGGTGACAGCCGTTCTGGCTTAGTGGGCCTCACTTTGGAAAGCTTGGAACGCTTGACCATCTTGACTTGCTTTCTATCCACCTACATCCATTTTACAATGCAGATGCTCATGTTGCTAATTCATTATTGATTTTACTTTACTTTGGAATAAGACTTGCATAGCTCTGAAGTTCTGTTTAGGTTTGGAAACTTTTTAAACTATTCTATTTTTCCCCGAAGGTAAATCTCACCTGGCCATAGTGCAGCGGGTAAACAATGAGGGAGAAGGGGATCCGTTCTATGAAGTGCTGGGAATTGTCACTTTGGAAGATGTGATTGAAGAAATCATCAAGTCGGAGATCCTGGATGAAACAGATTTGTACAGTGAGTAGAATGACCTTTGCTTTCTTTAACATTGACTATGGTTCCTCCCACATCTTTGCAGGTTGCTGACTGTCTTGGTTTTGTTATTCTATCCTCTCTAAGCTGTTGCTTAAAATTAATCTGATACAATCTATTTTGTGTGCCAGTCTTGACATGGGTGGGAAATCTGAGGAGGTTACCATGCTCTTAGGAGAGGTAAAGCCTGTGATGGGATTAGGGTTGGGTGATAGCAGTGTTTCCTGAGAAGCCATATGCTCCATGGGCCCGCTGCCTTACCCCTCTTTCCTGATGTTACTGAGTTTGTGCTTTGCTGAGAAACCCAGGCCATCATCGCTCTTACTAGAGCAGTGGGCTTAATGGTTAGCTTTATTGTCATGGGTACAACTGAGCCTTGCATAATCATATTCTCTCTTTGGTAGATGTTTCTTGTTTGGTGGGTTTGTTTGTTTTTTAAAAGATGAGCTATTTCTACATAAGTACACTCTGTGGCTTAAAATCTCTCAGCAGTGGGGAGTTGAGCTAGTAAATGAGGTCAGTGAACTGCTAGATTAAAACTCTGCTTGAAGCCCTTACTAGAACCTGGATTTCTCTTTGCTCAGAACCCTCGGGCAGACATGAGCGATTGTGGTAAAGAACAGGAAAGCTGTACAATGCAATGCCAACTGAGGCCCCTCCAGATCTATAGTTTATATTACCTAATCTTCATACTTTACTGAGTAAAGAGTCCCCCTCCTCTCCTGCCCTAATCTGCATATCCACATCAGCTCCTTTACTACCATCAGCAATCTCTCAGCAAGCGTCTATTAAGTGCCTGCTGTGTGTCAGGCACTGTGCTTGATGCCAGGGAGACAAATACAATAAGTTAAATAATCCCCTCTGGAGCTTACTTTCTAACTGAGGAGAGGATAAATATATATATGTAAGTATAATGTAAAATATACGTAAAGAGAATCAATACAAATGAATACAAAGAAGTTAAATACAAGTTAGTTTGAGAGGGGATCAGGACAAGTTCCACTTAGAAGATGATGCTTAAACAGTCCAAGAGAAGGATTCTGTGAGGGGGAGGGGAGGAAGGAGGGCATCCTAGGCATGAGGAATGGCCAGTGCAAAGGCAGAGAAAGAAGAGATATGGTGACATATAGTTGGTGAGGGAGGGTTTGTCTGAGCTGAAGGACACTGGGGGATGTGAGGAGGTGAGCAATAAGTAATGTAGTAAGTCTGGAAAGATAGGTTGGGTCAAGGTGATGTAGGGCTATAAAAGCTAAATAGAGGAGCATCTATTTGATTCTAGGCAATAGGAAACTATGAGAGTTAATTGAGTAGAGGAGTGACATGGTTAGTCTCTGACGAAGAGGTTGTTCTCTTCTCACCAAGGCCCCCTGCTTGTGCCCTTGATCTCATCTCTGCCCATCTTCTCTGATCTTCACTCTCTCCATCTCTAATCTGAAGTCTTTCCTTATAAAGGCCCAGCATCTCAGGCTGGCATCCTTAATCCTGTCTTCCTTTCCAAACTCCAAGACACAGCTGTCCACATCCCTTGTCTCCACTTCTTCCCTTTTCATTTACTTATCACCTGCTTGCAATCTAACTTTTGACCTCATCACTCAACTAAAACTGTTCTCTTCAAGGTTACCGATGATGTCTCAACTGCCAGAGATGATAGCCTTTTCTCCATATTCACCTTCCTTGACTTTTCTGTATTTGACTGTGTTGACCACCCTTCCTCCTGGCAACTCTTTGCTCGCTGGGTTTTCGCTGTCCTCTACTAGTTTTCCTGCCTGTCTGGCCATTCCTTCTCAGACTCTTTTGCTGGATCACTGTTTATGTGCTGTCCCCCTCTTAAGTGAGTATACCCTAGGGCTTTCTTCTTTTCTTTTCTTTTCTCTTCACCTTCTCTTCCAATGATCTCATCAGTTTTCCTCAGTTTAATTATGATCTCTGTACAGATGATTCCCAGATCCGTATATCCAGCCATAGTCTCTCCTCTGAACTCGACTTTTGCATCACTAACGATTCATTGAACATTTTCAAGTGGACGTCTCATAAGCATCTCAAACTCAACATGTCCGGGTTAGAACTCATTATCTTCTGCCCCACTTCAACACTATTCTTCCAAACTTTCTCTTTGTCCAGGGCATTATTATCATTCTAGTTACCAGCTTTGCAAAACCTCTGAGACACCTTCAACTCTTTTCTCTCTCTCACCAATGAGTGGCCAAGCCTTGTCTGCTCTATTTTCCCAGCAGTTACCCCTCTGTCTCCTTTTCTCCATTCGGACAACTACCACTCAAGTTCATACCCTCCTCACCGCTCACGTAAACTATTTTTATAACCTCTTAATTGGCCTCTTTGCCTCCACTCTCTCCCCTCTAATCTATATTCCACAACCTGATAGATTGATATGATAAAAATAATAACCAGCATAACATACTAGCAAAAACTTACTATATGCCAGTCTCTGTAAATCTCTAAGAGATTTACAGATACTACCTCATTTGATCCTCAGAACAACTCTGGGTGGCAAGTGCTGCTATTATCCCTATTTTACAGTTAAGGAAACAGAGGCAGACAGGGGTTAAGTGACTTGCCCAAGGTCATATGGCTAGTAAGTGTCTGAGGTCTGATTTGAACTTTGATCTTCCTGACTTCAGGCCCCATCCACAGCACCACCCAGCTGCCTGAAGCACAAGGGTGACCATATCAGTCACTGCTCAGAAAGCTCCAGTGGTTCCCCACTGCTTCTAGAATAAACTACTAACGTCTTTGTTTGGCATTTAAAGTCCTTCTTGATCTAGCTTAAAACCTACTTTCTGAGCCTAGTGCCTATCATCCCTCCCTTTTTGTGCAATCCGTCTTACAGTTTAATCAACCTACCTGCTATTTCCCACATGTGTCATTCTGTTTCCCATCTCTATCCCTCACACCTGAAATGTGCTCACTTTTCAGCTGGGCCCCTTTGAATTCCTAGCTTTCCTAAAGCCTCAGTTCAAATGCCATCTCTTACACAAGGACTCTTCTGATCCCCCTTAATTGTTAGAGTCCTCTTTTCCCTCCCTGGTTTACTTTGTATTTGCATGCATGTGTCCTGGATTTACTTATCAAATACACGTTGTTTCCCATAGTGGAATATAAACTCCTTGAGGGCAGGGACTGATTTGTTTTGCTTATGTAATGTCAATGTCTAATCAAGTACCTGGCACATGGAAAGAAAGCCCAGAATAAACAAATACTGGTTGAGGAGGATCAGCCAGTCCTGCCCTTTCTGATCCACCTTCAGCAGCCAGGAGAAGGACGGAGCTTCTGGGTCTGGCTGATCCTTCCTTGAATGAAGATAGAGATGCAGAAAGTCCCCGGAATTGATGCTGAACCTGGCTTTATTGCAGGAAAATAAGAAGCTATGTATCTGGACCCTGGCAGTCCTCTTCTCATAGAGTGTTAAACTTAGCCGTGGAAACAACTTACAGCAGTTCCCAAACTTCTAAAATGTTTTTCCCGTCCAACTTTTTGTTTCTTTGTGCAGTTGCCATCAGTGGGTCCCTGCCATCAGTGGGATCTCTGTGGCAGGAAATGAATTTTTTCTGTGCTTCTGAGACATATAGAAAGGGAAGATCAGACTCACCAGGGACCCAAGGCAAAGCCTGCTTTGCTTAGGGCAGAATGATTTCCTTCAGCTCAGCTTGAATGGGAAATACTGTGTTTCAAGTGTTGGCCAAGTCTTCTAGGCTCATGATTCTTATTGGAACAAGCTTCATTTTTGGCTCACATTGGTCTTTTAAAAGAATTCATCTCTTTCATGATTGTGTTTCTTTGAAATCATCAACCTAAAAAGGACTTCTCCAGTGTATTTGTTTACCTATTTTTGGAGGTGTGGAGAACTATATATGTACACTTGGGGATGGTGGTTATAACTCTGGGATAGTGGAGGAGACTTCTAGATCCTGACTGGATAGGAAATTGGGCAGAATCTGAGAAGATGAGATATAATAGAGATAAATGTAAAGTCTGACACTGGTTGCCCAATTACAAAGTGAAGGAGCCTTAGGTAATATAGCAGCTTGTCTATAAAAGATCTGGGGGTTTTAGTGGCCTGCAAGGTCAATACGAAGCAACAGTGAGATATGGCAACTGAAAAAGCTAATGTGATCTTGGCCTGCGTTAAGAGAGGCACATCTCCAGGGAATCAGAAGATGCTATTTCTTCTGTGCTTTACCCTGGTCAGGCTAGGTCTGAAGTTTTGTGTTTAGTTCTAGGTACTATCTTTTCAAAATAACCTTTGCAACTTGAAGACTATCCAGGAGAGGCCAAACTGGATGTTTAAGTCCAAGACATAAAAGATTAGTTAAAGGAAATGGGATGATTAGGCTGTGGAAGAAAAGGTATCAGGAGAAACATGATAGCTGTGTTGAATTATGTTAAGAGTAGTCATATGAAAGAGGGGTTAGATTTGTCATTTTTGGCCCCAGGGCAGCAATGGGAGGAAATTACTAAGAGGTAAATTGAGGTTTGATGTCCAGAAAAACTTTTTAACTATTAGAATTGTCCCAGAGTGAAATGGACTGCCCCACAAGGTGTTAGTTTCCCCTTCAATGGAGGTCTTTAGGAATCGATTAGATAACCACTTGTCAGGTCTGTGGTAGAGGGGATTCTTTTCTAGGGATTGGTTGGACTGATGACCACTGAGGCCTCTTCCAATTGTGAAATTATCTGATTCTCTGATTCTGCCCTTTGTTGAATTTGCCATTTTTAACCTTGCGTCAGAAATGATTGCTTCACATTCAGCCTGTGTGTGCATGTGTATTGATCCTGTGGCTAATGTCCTTAGGATCAAAGAACAATCAATATATCCATGAGTTCCACTTCTGTTTATATGTTATTTTTAAAAACTAAATGTCAGTTTGTTCTGCTACATACATTAGTCACACTGGTTCTGCTGAAAATGTTGTCTGATCTTGGCTCCATGTTAGAAAGTAGAAGACTTGGAAAATTTAGCCTGACTG